TACTGTGCTTTTGGAAGCAGCTGCAGATCATTCATTAGTGGTTTTGCAGGTCAAGTTTTAAAACCTTTGTTGGTGAGGCTTTTAGCATTTGCTTTGGGAGGTAATTCCAGATCTTGCTGACAGAAGGTTTTCCTGATGTTCAGACTAAAGTCATGTCCCACCAAGAAGTTCTCCTTTCTTTGGAGAATGTAATATGGCTTACAAAATCTTTTTGGATTTCAGATGGCAAGTCAAAGTTCCAAGCACCTCCACCTCTCCTGGACTGGAAGACAGTTCACCAGAAAATGCCATGGAGTATTGTGTTTCTGCTGGGAGGTGGTTTTGCCTTAGCCAAAGGCAGTGAGGTAACATTCCTTGGCTTACCTGGGATCTGTGTCTTCCTGGTTGTTTTCCACCTTGCTCTTCATGCTGTCCCAGGACACAAGAGGGCACACTGGGAGCATCGAATGTTCCTTTCCTCAGCTACTGGCAGTGGGACAGACCTCACCATCCTTAGGAGGAGTCCTGTGATTAGACCAAATCCTTATTGTTAGCTGTGCAATGGGATGGTACTACCAATCAGGACAACATGATTAACTGTGTTTCTGAAGAAGTGGATGATTAAGAAACTACCTCAACACGTTAAAGGTTCTTTAAATAAAAACTAATTGATGTGGCAAGTGTGAGGAGATAATGTACCCAGGATGGGTCTCTAAACTATCTCAAACAAACAACTTATGGAAATAGGATTTAAATTAAACTGCTAGAAGACAAATTTAGAGCTTGCTAGAGAAACTTCAGGAGCAGATAAAATCATCGGACTGAAAGGATGTGCTGCTGTACTTCTGCAGGAACCTGCCAGGAGTGCAGTGCTACACATTGTTTTTCAGTAACAATTTGAGTGATGGTAAATGATGATAAATACAATTATGAAGTATATAAACAATAAAAAAACTGGAAAAGGCTTCAAGTGCCCGGAATACTAGTTTAGAATTCAAAGATCAAAATTAACTGTAAAAGTGTTTCTAGAAAACAAGGATGCAGCTCAGTTTGGGAAACAGGAGGAAATAATCAAGTATCAGAAATGTAAGATGTGGAAACAACAGGTTGAGTTTTAAACCTGCTCATACACCTTATTCTTGTCAGTGTTTTAATATTACTACTGAGAAAAAAGCAAACAACTGGAAACTATAGGCAGGCTGATCATACATAAACCATGTAAAATATAATCCTTCTCTCAGGACTAAGTCCTCAGGTACAGTAATTTATTCAGTTTTGGCTATCAGTCTTCAACAATATATGGCTGTATAAAGAAAGAGGAAGGCAGTAAGAACGGGAAACGTGCTTGTTAAAGGAAAGATTTAAGAAATTAGAATGATTTATTCTAGAATAAGTCATCAAATACAAAAAAGCTGCAGCAGAAGGCCCAGAATGACAGGGATGATGTTGGGACTTTCCAGTGACTGAGAAGAATGGAGGGTGTGAAAAGATTCAGATAATTATCTCAGATAATGTGATGAAATCACATTAAATCACTAAAACAGCTGCTAAGATACATAAAAGCATTTTAGAAAATTATTTCAAAGACCTTTGTTTACATTAAAAAGTGCCCGAAATACTGATCATGTACAACTAATGATCTGAGCTATCAATAATGCACTACAAATGTAGTATCTTCTTCTTTCAAATTCTTTGGAAGGGAAAGCAGGTTTATTTCTGGGTAACCTAACAAGTGATCCTCTCTATGAACATTGGCTCCTACATGTTTTTCTGCAGAGAGCAGTTTGTATGAGAACTGTTATGACAAGGGAAGGTCGAATTGACATGAGAACTGTAACTGGACTGCAATGTGGTTATTTCCTCTCCAGCCTACTATCCTGAGAGCACTCTTTTTTTTTGTTACAGAAATCTGGTCTGTCTGCATGGTTAGGTACCCAACTGACCCCTCTGCAGCACGTCCCTCAATCAGCAATTGCCTTCCTAGTGTGTCTCCTCGTTGCCACTTTCACTGAGTGCACCAGCAACGTGGCCACCACCACCCTCTTCCTCCCTATTGTGGCTTCAATGGTAGGTTCCAGCATTTCAAAATGTTCTTATAACAACAGTTTTCAACTCCTCTCCAAGCATACATCTGCTCAGTTGACAAAATTAACTGGCTGCCATAGCCAAGCACTGGTTTGTGTGTCCAAACAGGGACACAAGACTTACACAAATGTATATGTGTGTGAATATATTTCTATATAAATACACTGTGCTTAGTTCAACCCTTCTAAAACCATTGCTGGGGAAAAGTAAAGGGATTAAATTCATTGGCA